GCGGTCTAAATGGTTTAGAGCTTTTGAATTCTTGCCAACGAGGCTACTCTTCCAGACTGAACTCCTGCCTCTCCATATGGAGGCGTATCTTCTCATCCATAACCTCACTTTGCAGTCAGCTTTCACAGTATCGATGCTTACATCTGCACAATTTCTCAACAAGGATTACTAATTAGCCAATTTTCTTCCACAGCAATGAAATGTGTGTTTAGGCACTACGCGGTAGTCTCTACAATTCCGGTTTACCATCTGCATTAACGTCTGCTCACGGCACTGATTCAGCTAATTCCACTCAAATGCTGATCCAAGGAATTATTTTAACTTTCTGCTCACGCCTAATCTTGAGGCGACTTCATTCGACTGATCACTAAGCAACACGAGTTCGTAGATGACCTCGGTTCCAATCAGGCCTATAAATAGTCATTTTCATTGCACACTCACTAACCGACATCCACATTAACGTCGTGTTCTGCAAACTCGCATTAATCTCGTCACTTTCTCTTGGCTCAACAAGTGCAGCAACAACGATATCGATGGTGCGCTGTAGTATTCCGCATAGGTACTCACCATCTTCCATTACTTCCTTTCCTGCTGCCGCAGCATTCACGAACTCCTTCCTTCGTTCAATCGCAGGCAAAGAAATCCACTGCACCTGGTCCTAACGAATGATCGAGAGGAGTATGCAGGAGCAAAGTCTCGCAACCCGAACTGGAAGATCGCATCAACAAGTATTTCTGCCTTTTTTAAATGCATCTTCTGCTAGTGATCTTCATGCTTCTAGCTTACCACGTGGCAGTACTACAAATACCAGTTCTGCTCCTGTTTCATGTGATTAGAGTGGCAATGATGTTGGCTTCGAAGTCGGGAGATATGAAGCTATCCTACATTCATTCCACCTCAATTAAATGCTCTTTTATCGAAGCCTCATCCTGTGGATGCATCCACTAGTTGCAATGCCACACCTTCAAATTATGCGAATCTGAATTCATGCATTTTGGCATCTCTACTCTACTATTATGTCTCATTCCTGCAACTGCTAGTGTGCGTAACCATCCCTTGTTTGCTCAAAGGCTGGTCAAAATTAGCACCACTTTCGGAGGTCCATCAGCGAATTTTGACGGAGGGTTATCCACTTCCACTTCTGTACACTCTTACCTTACCCCAGATTGTCAGATTGTCACTTGCATGCAATGTGTAAGACCCGATGTTGTGGCTATCGCACCACGGCGGTTGTAGTAACCCAGTCAAGCAACACCAAATGATCAGTATGTCGGCATTCCTGTGCGTTGGATGAGGAGTGCATTGGTGCATCCAAAGACGCCGGATAGTACGCTTCTACACGTGCAATAATGTCAAACTCAAATTGCTCGTTCGGGCCTCCAACAATACCTGTGCAGAGTGGAGACCGTATTCATGTCTTCACATCTCAACAATACCTGGAGGATGGTAGCCGTAGAGGGTTTGAGGAGGCTGTAGTTTCTTTTTAAAAGGTAACACTGCCTTCTGTAATTGTTCCTTAGGGTCACGTGAGGTAAGTCAATGCAGACCTTATTTTTGCCTCTCATTCGCCTCTTCCGGACTTTCAACTGTAGTAACGCATTCGGGTTTGTAGACACGAAGGTGTTGTGAAGGCGTGCAGAGTTTACACTCTGCATTTACGTTGCTGGGAGGCCTGATTGTGCAATCAGGATTTGACATTGGTGTGCTCTGCAGAAGCGTACGCTCCGACGTCTTTGGATGAACGGAACCAACCCCCATCTAATACGCTACAACTACGATGTGCTGGTCGCTTTTGCTGCTAAATATGTCCTTACAGCAAAGTGCAAATTGACTGCTGGTAAAATGTGACAATTACCCATGATTTCTTCTGTCCGAACATTTGTACCGGTGATCGCATTTGCCGTAATTCTTAGTGAATATTGTGAATTAGTTGCAACCCTCTTCTAATTTGGCGATGAATGGATGTTTTAAACTTAAGGCACTAACTTTTTATTGCCCTGATGAAGGCATCAGGCTATGCATCTTGAAACATTTAACTAGTCGCGGTCATATAATGCATGAAATGACCCTTTGCTTTACCTTATAGAAATAGTATTTCTTCCTTACCAATTGCCCTACTAGTGCCAGAAGTATCTCACGAAGGATCTCATATTTCACCTTCGAATTACATCTTAATTACTAAGTGGCCTTCCGTGGTAATTACTTGACCTTCGGCGACTGAACAGTTTGGCAGCTACTAACCATAGAACTGTAAGAATGAAGTGATGCATGCTACAGAGATGTAGATGTAGATGAATTACATCTTATCGACTATAAAGCCTTCAGTGGTAATTACTTGACCTTTGCCGAGTGAACAGTTCCGTCTGCAGGTCATTGCGCAGCCAATAACCGCAGAAATTTGGGAATAAAGTGATGCATTCTGCAGAGGTGTAGAACAGTGGGTAAATCTTCTCGGATGGCAGATGATTTGTCCTTCCTTTGCAAATGGCAAGTAAATCACAAGGGGATAACGAAAATTTCTAACCCTTGTCACATTGCCATTGACAAGGACTGGTTTTATTAAGCCGGTCGGCCTACGGTTACATAGCTTATAAGCCTGGATCAATTGAAAGGTCAAAATGCTGCTGACAGAACGTTGACAGAACTTAGAAAAGAGGTGCCAAATCGTCTCCTTGCCCATGAGTTTTTTTTAAAACCTTGTACATTTTGCATTGTAAAGTCATCTCTTTTCTAATTTCCAGACAGAAAATATTAAGCAATCGTACTAACTCCAGTTACCGTCAATGCGTTAAAACCGAAAGCGATTATTTCAAAAGCCTAGCTCTCCTTGATGGGCAAAACGAAACGCTTAGAACCTAAAAATTTTGCCTTATTTCGTTCTTCGCACCACCAAACTAGGAAGCACATTATAATGAATTGTTTAACCATCTGTCATATTTGCAGCTTCTCAAGACTTCCTTGAAGTCAAAATAAACCGCACCGATGTGGCAAATTAGGAGACTTGTAGACCCAAACTTTTGATCCTGCCTCCGAGACGGAAGTATGATTTGCTTTTGCAAAAATTTAATCACTACCAGCATTTATTTCGCCTCCAGTTGGCCTTGCCAGGAAAATACACTTTAAATAGAGTTCTTTTTTCCACTTTATGACTAGTAGGAACGGGCTGTCGGCTGTATCCGTCGAAAGACAAAGCTCAGTATTGCCTGGGTTCAACTAGCTGTCAATGCCCTTGACACTACTAGAGGTAGGTCAAGTCAACGGCGTTTTCTATAACATCCAATTTTGAAGCCTTCACATTGGAGAAAAGTTCTTTATCCATTCACAAAAGTGAGAATATTTTGGAATCGTGGATTTATTCGGTGCGATTCAACGTTTTCAGTTGTATGCAAATGAGGTTTAGTGATCCGATAAACACTTTTGTCTGTTGTAACTTAATGCAGCCGTAGATCTGAACGAGTATGATGCAGTATAGAAAGAGGAGCAACGCAACTTCCTTTTATTGCTGTCGCGCACTTCAATGTGATAACATTTGATCCTCCCGAAGCCTTTGATCCTAAACATATGTGCAGTGATTCGCCTCAATTTTATTACCCTCCTTCACTCTAACCACCACTTTTGACATACATGTATATATAACCGTGTGTCGCTCTGCTCACAACTTAGAAGTATGCCTCTACATTAATACTCTCTACAACTTCTCATAGAGAGTGTCCTGTCTGTCGCTGATACTGCTACCAACTTAAAGCCACCCGGCTACTTCAATTGACTCATTATTAGTTAACCAACCTCATTAAAAGCACCTAGATGCAAAAGCACAAAGTGTCGCAAAAAAATATAATGGATGGAAAGTAGACAGGAATGGCGGACAAATATGCACAAAAAACATACTTAGAACAATAGCAAGGCCAGTAATACAATAGCCACAAAATCAGATCATTAAAGCCAACTGGTATTTGTTTGACCCTCAAAAGCTTGTTTAACTGACCGGATATTGCTTAAGACCTACTGGTGTATAATTAGTACTGGAGATGAAGAGCGTTTATCTGCAAAATGTTTCACTCAAATTAGAGAGGACAGTGTCGTTTGCGAAAAGAGGAGTTGTCTACTCTATTTGAGAGTTATCACTCCTTCAAGGACTTCTTAATTACTGCCTTTGGATGCCTTCGCTGTCATTTGAGTACACCTCTTCACCATTTCCGAGGCATTATCAGAGAATGCTCCCGGTTAATAAAAGAATCTGCTAACCACCTGCAAAGAAGACTTATTTCACGCAGATGACCGGCAACTACATTTGCTAGCAGTTGCTATCAATAATGTCGCTGAAGCATTAAATTTCCCATTTTTCGGTAGTTACCATCTCCACTCTTACAACATTCCCACATTTGTCATCTCTAGAAAAAGGCCCAGAAGTCTTCAGCTATTTCAAGTTCCGCATTTGGCTGGAATAGGCTTCAAGACGGTGTCAGGGAATGGGTGCGGATACATCAATCCATTTCCACTCTCCTCTTTATGTCACATCAAATGTCGAGAGAGACTGCGAAATGTCGTACTGCATTTGTAAAAATAAAAGAACTCTGACCTTTATCTTCTTTGATAAATAAAGTTGAGCAATCATTCAGCACTTGAAGCGAGGTAGGAATTAGGCTAGCTTTTCATTATGCTGTCAAAATAAGATGATAAATTCTCAGAGGTATTGAATTTACCAAATAATTTTCAGCTCTGCATTGCGTTTGTGGCAGCCTCTAGGTCAACACTAATGTTACACATTCCACATGGATACACGCAACCGTGAGACAACATCCACCATTGTTCCTCTTGTAGTAGGGTTGGCACTCCAATCGACTGTGGCTTACGGCAAAAGAAGTCGCATCTCATTTGGTGTGTGTGTGTGTGTGAGTCCAAAGAGAAAAAACTGATGCAGAAGTAGTTGGAGGTACAAGATGACTAAGAGAAGCTGGGCAATAGCCACTACCAAATTTTTTTCCATAAATTGTAAAAGGATGCAGGTAAAGATAGAATTGGGTCTGGTAATGCGCGTGTCTGTAAACACCATCGACAAAGAGACACAGCCGATCGGCTTTCATCCATCAAGCCCCGAACTACCATCCCCTTCGGATGTCACGATGAAAGTAGGCAGTAGGGGTCGCAAAAATTTCTTTTTATTGCATAGCTAGTATGCGACTTGCATAATAAGGAAATATATTCAATGCAACCTCAAAATAGCTCGCAATCAAGGCAAATTGAACTAAAACGAATTGCACTTAAATGTCTCTGTTGAAGGCAAAACGCATCGTATTCAGCCCATCAAAGAAGAAATAGTCAATACCACTTGCTACAGCCTAAGACCAATTGTGAACATTCATTGTAATAAGCTACTGTAAATATGAAAAATACATCATTACCTTCCTACTTATGGATGCCAACTAAGTCTGTAAGCATAATTTTGAGCATTCTTTATTTCTACAAACATCTAAGATTTTAAAAATATTTTGGAAGCTGCATTTTTGGTTTTAATCAGGTTTCAAAATGGCCTAACTAATGAAGTTCTTTAATCATATTAGTTTGGTTTAGTTTTATTCCTCGTCATAGTTTCATCGGAGCTTGAGGCTCCGCTTTTACGCATTTGCTAGGCTCCATGGTTCCGAACTAATTCAGTAGTCTCCAGTCCTTCCTTGCATTGGCAAAATATATTTTGCCTCATTATTTTGACTTGTCTCCCAAAAGGCTGATGGGAGAATCCGCGACGACTGCAAAGGGAAGGGTTGAGGATGATGTTTACCTTTGGCAAATAACTCAACCTTGCCCTTTGTAAGAATTCTATTTGTGACTAAAATAAAACTAACTGTGCCTGTAAACTATCTGAATAGTTTCGTTGTAAAGCAATCTACGGTACGTATACGAAGATGCCAAGATCACCACATCCTTGGATTGCGTACTTTCTCTGGCTTTCCTATCACACAGTTACTTTTTTGATTGACTTTAATGCAGAACACATTTGAGGCATTTGGTAATTTTTTTGCAATGACTTTTCCAGAGCAGCATCACGTAAGAAGTTGGCTACAACCTAGCTAGATTTTGCTACAAAATGTAGCCTCCTGTCTAGGTACGCACTACGAATCCCTTCACTCAGCCAGTCTAAATATACTTGTCATGGAAATTTTATTTATTTTTTCCCTATTTATGTTTGAGTCACTTCGAATTGCTGGGCCTGCACTTAGAAAAAATAAGGAATAGACGGACAAGCAATTCTGCATCATCATCTATCATCAATGGTGAAGTGGTGCAGGGTAGAAAGCTGGGAGAAGGATGTAAGTCTGAGGGGGGCAAAGTGTTGATTGGTGGAAAGGGCCGTGCCACCTTGTACCGACTCCGTACTTTCGTCACTTCAAAGTAGCTTAATGAACGAACCGAACTCTAATGACGGGATTGCAGGTACACTTCTACGCCAACTTTGACTTCAAATGCGACTTACACTCCTCTCAACAATCCAATGTCTATAAATTTAAACCCATCCGCAGCTTTGCAAGCTCCCACTACGTTAGATTGCTTAGACCGGTACAAGTTGAAGTTTGCCTGCGAAGGCGCCTGCACACGCCAGATGTGGAATTAGCTACATCGCAATGTGAATGCCTCAGTCCCTTCTCTCGAGCATCGCCAATCCTGCCACCCACGATTTTTTGTCTCCTTAGGCAAACTTCCCTCCCCTCCACATCCTACAATGCACCGCTTTAACTCTCCGTGATACGTCATCATCTCGTCATCGACATATGAAGGCCGTTCCACTAGTCAATCGTCGAGCCAATTTCCGGTGCGTGTTCATCTCAACCGCATTACCTATTCAAACAGTTGATGCTCGAAACTGCTTCGAATTCATGCTGCAATCGCAGTACCTATTATACCATTTGGATTGTGATCAGTCAGCCATATTTTACATCTTGATACCATAAATGCAAATCGTCCTCCGTTTGCTATATGTTGAATGAAGTGCCGTGGAATCGCGTCGGATCACGGCTAATGTCTTGTTGATAGGTAATTTGGAGACGAGTTTAGAGGCGCACTTGCAGTCGCATTTGTTACTCCATTCTACGCCTCTCCCTCCCGCCAAGTAACCATTTTGCTCCGACTACTTACTATTGACAAGAAACAAGTAGTATAAGGGGGCGATTTTAATTGATGCCGTTTTATGGATCGGCGTTATACGATGTGGTGATAAAAGGTACCGACTATAAGCGAATCCGTTGTTTGTTGTAATAAAGGAGTGTCATTTAATATGAATCGAGTTAACTGATAAAACTTGGCCTTGTGAATAATGAGGCACACACACTAGTTGGTGGAGGTGGGAGTTGGCAATACCCCGAAACCAACTTCGTGGTGGTGGGTCATTTGCTTCTTTAGAGATACAAGGCAACATTAGCCTTCCTTTATATCCAATCTCGCTAGTTGGTCTCCTCTTCCATGAGATACAGTAATGATAGCTAGTTTACACCACACGCGAGTATAAAATAAAAACGCATTAGTGAATGCCGATGGAGTGATTTCGTTGTAGCCTCATAGCTCTTGAAATTTCCGGACAATAATTCAAAAAAAAAAACGCCCTTTCATACTACCGTTTCTCGTGAACGGTAGTGTGGGAAGTAAGTGAACCAGGGTTAGGTGAGTCGGATGGAGTGCTTGTATTTTCAGTGGCTTCTCATTCCTCACTCTACCAAAATTGGAGTGAGCTGTTGCAAGCATACTAAGATTGTTCTTTTCCGCCATCTGCGCTGAACTGGCCAACCCCTTGATTCGTCAACCTGCGACGAAATGGTCACCGTATCATCCAGCTACTGAGCCAGCATTGCTTGCGTCTTTGTCAGTTAAAATTTCTTATAACGCTTTGTGTAATGGGTTGTGTTCGCTTCAACAGCATTATGACCTGTTATTTCCATTTTACCTGTAGGCTAAGGATCAATTATTTGTTAGCTAAGCTAGTAATGCAACACCAGTTGCCTATTTCGATGATGTGATATGGTATTTACTTAAGAAATGGCGAATGTTTCCCAAAGTTTGCTGTTTCCCGATGGCATATAGGAAAGCGGTACCACTTGCCTCAAACGTCTCCAAGTATGCATTTACATCACCTTCTTGACATTTCCATTGCTGTCTCCATTTTGAAAGCATAGTTGGGCAGATCACGCCAACTCATGAACACTCAAACAAAAGTATGAGAAGGTGAGTGAACCTGGATATCAAGAGACACATCATTTCTTGAGTGGCAACACCCACTACAGACGAAGGTTCCCATTATTCTTATCATTATGTAGCATATCACTAGTTTACAAAAGCAAGTGTTTTGGGACATACAAAAATTAGTACAACGCCAATTATTGCGACATGTCTTTCCTCCGACTCCAATCAACCTACGAAAGAATAGGCTAGTATGTCAGATTAGTAGCAAAGGATACAAAGGACACCAAAATTGCATAAAAAAGTTGCGAATGCCATAAAATTGACGTACATGTGTCTATCATTTGGAGTCTACTGATATTTTTCTGGAAAAACAATTATACGATTCCACAGTTATTGAGGTGTAATTACAGACATTTGGTAGGACTTTGCAAATACTTGTTGTCCCACTTCATTCATTGATAGATGTGCGCTTGAAAATAAACAAAACAAAATTCTGCAAGAAGTGGAATTGAGCACATCTGAAATAATTCGGTCTTAGACCAATTATATTTTTCACTGCTACTTAACAAATATTTAGTTTGGCCTGCCATTTTAATTTTAATACGAAATTTTTTGCAACCGAGCAAATACCAAGTGCAGCTATAAATTCGAGAAAACTGTTGTGCCTCCTGTCATTACTGTAGTCCTACAAAGGCAAAGCAGCGACATTAGCAAGTACTATTTACCAATGGCAAAATATGCTATTTTCAAAATTCCTTTAACTGCGCAGTAGACGTTTCATGCCTTATTGCTAGTTTAGTTTCAGTTGAATTCTGTTAAATCAACTCCTTGTTGGTAAATATATCTTAGCTAACACCTATAATAATCCTGACATACAGTGCAATAAAATTATCTACTTCTGCTATTAAATTGCTTTTGTAAATGCTGTTCCTAAACTCAAATACTGCCTCGTTTAGCGCGTAAACTATAAAAAGCCTTGAGGTCGTGACCTTGACGCCAAACGAATTCAATTATCCGGTGTTTTGAGATGCGAACATGCAATTACTCGTGCTCTTGCTAATTTTCTTATTAGGCTGCGGTGTTTGGATTAACCTTATCCTGCAAGATGGTTTGATTTTTCTTATCGTAGATAAGCACATCGTAGATTATTTGAACGACATTTATTACTTTGATACGGGCCTGGAGTCGTTGCTCCCAGAACATGCTATAATTTTTCATGACTCTATTGCATAACCCTCAACTGACCACTCACTTTGCCAAGGACTTTTTACATATTAATCAAATACGATTTCTAGAAATGAAGAAATCTACACCACTTTCAACATGTCATTTTGTGCTTCGACGAAATTGGCGACTTCTTAGAACCAGCTAAATATTCTACCTCATTTTACATTAATGGGTTTAGATTGCATTCATCCTAACCTATTTTGTCATCCAACCGACATATTTGCTCATTTTCCCAGCCATTTTTTTGCCTACCTTCCATTACATTAAAGCACACGCTCATAAAGATGAGTGATGCACGTGGGTGCTGTCGGTACCCAAGTCAAGGGGCCCATAGCAACTAATTTGGCTGAATACCCGACTTCGACTTAGAATGAGTAAGTTCAAGCTCGCCTGGGTATCCGACACCCATTGTCTTTCAATTTAACTAGAGACGCATATTCTTTTGCACCCGTATACACGCATCACCTAATATTTCCTATTCACACATCCCGCATCTGCCGTTCACGTGCTAAAATCTGTTAAAAAAATCTTTTAAAGCCCGATTATAAAAACGTGTTTGCACGTGAACCAAAGTTTTGAGTCACAGCGTTATCACTAAAATCACATCTCGTGGATCTCAGCGTACTTCGGTATCTTACGCAGTTGTCAACCTCAAAGATCAAGTAGTGACTCACTCATATACAACAAATGTGGTATAATCGCGGGTTCTTCCATTGTTTTCCACTACTGTTTTGACGTGCAATAGCTGTATTTTACTCTAACTTTTGCTCAAGGCATCAGCCCATCTCTCCTTTTCTAGCACTCCTGCATGCCTTCTTTCACTACACCACAGTTCCTCTGCTATCCTTATACGTATTGTGCGCCGCCACGTACAACCATGGGAGTCCTTTTACAATGACCGGCAGCACAATGAGCAGCAGTGTTCTACCTGCGTTGAGCCCAAGGCAACTGCCTGAAAATCGCCCATCAGGAAGATCGCCTCGCCATAAACCCTTTTACACTGCAAAACCCAATTCGGTTTGCCAAGCACTCTTCCAAAATAGGCTTTTTTGATAATGACCAAACGCTTATAATCTCCTCTGTAGGCTTTCTTACTCACTTAGTAGATGGCGGTTTGGTGCCCTAACCTTCACAATGAAGTGTTGTCCTTTTTGTCTCCTTTCCACCAGGACACCAGTCTTAGATTCCAAATGGTTATTCGTTGGGTTTAGATGGAGCCTGCTGTAAGGACCCTAGTGGTAGTAGACGAGAAAGTTGTGCTAATTTTTGCCGACACAAAACTATCAGTTAAGTTGAGCTGGGATGAATGAATGGAAGTGACTACTCCACACCTGCATTTCAATGCAAACGCAGATCAAAATGACGACTTCTGTTTTAAATAATGCAGACCCACTCGACCCTGATCCAAAGGCATGCCGAACCAGTACTTAGACTTGGAAGTACGAGGCAGGCATTTACGACAAACATCGTTTCAAATCTAAGCCTGAGTAATTCCATTACGTAGATAACTAGCCAACACGCTAGAAGGGGTTGTGAGGCCGAAAAGTTGGTTGGTTTAACTAATTTCCTCCTCTTTGCCTCCATTTTCAATGCTTTTTGATTATTTTAGCAGCAGCATTTGGTCAGTCAGACTTTATGTTGTCTGTTGAAGCCTGCTAGATATGTGATCAAAGAAGTTGACTTAGTGTGCTGCATCAGCTTACACATCAAGTAGGTCTACTGAAGAGAGTTGTCTCTACCGAGCCTGTGCCACAGCATTGTAAGCTAGATTGTGGTCGCATGTAGCGGTTTAAGCAATGTTAAGTAATTTGACGTTGTAGTTTCGATATATGGTTTGTAATGTGCTTTTATGGACCTATTTGGTACAAAGGCTGTCTTACAGGTGTGTTCTGAAGTTGTCACCGTCACCTTAACCAGGTTATAAGGCTATGATGGAGGACTCCTCCACCCCTTCCTCATATAAGGAGTGGTGTTAAGGGTTGGTGTGTTGCGATGCATACTATTGTCGTGGTACTGCAAAGCAGTCATCACCGACTGCGATTACTTGGCAATTCTCTGTGCTCACTTCAACAGCATAATCGCTTGTAATTTCTGTTTTGAGCATTGGCTATAATTCAACCATTTGTTAACTATTTTCCAGGCATAACAATGGCATCATACTAAACGCGAGCTCAATTGCTTTATGACCAAAATGGGTTTGATAATTTAATAGTGATTTCGCATCCCTTTACGTAGTATGAAGCAAACCCGTTTTAAGAGCCTCTGGTTTATCTATATGGAAATTCTCGTATGTCTTCAAGACTTTATCCTTGCTTATCTGTGCTATGCAAGCTCGTCCTCTGCAACTTTACTCGTTCATCCTACCAGCTATTTTGCTTTGGATTTGTGATATTCAGTGTTGTTAAAGTAGAACAACAGTTAGTTGCATACTTGGTGTTAAAATGAAAAAGTAAGAGGAGCTTAATTTTGCCAAAAATTTTGTAAGGAATACGGCACTTATCCGTGTTTAAAGGGCACTGCATAAAAACGCTTTATATTAAAAGTTTCTTGCACAAAATCCTTCCAAAAATAATTGGATGCAAAGAGCAGTATTCATTCAAAAGGTAGCTGTATACTTGAAACAATTTCAGGTCTAGAAGATTGAAATGAATAATAGAAAATCAATGAAATAGTGTTTGCACACACCACTAGCCAACGCTGAAATCAACTAAGTTAGTGTTTCCAACTGAAGTAACATTTTCCTTTGCCCCTGCTAATCATTTTATACCCAATTTGCTAAAATTATTTTCTATTAAAAATTTAGAAAACATTTGCATTTAAAAAATGACGCATTATGGAGCGAATAGTTTGAATAATCTAAAGCTTGAGACCTTGACGTTGAACGAATTCAATTGCCCCAAGTATTGAGCCGCAGGGATGCGATTACTTGCGTTCTTCCTACTTCTTTTGTTATATCGTGGCGTTTGGAGCAATTTAGTTCAACAAAATGGTTTGATTTTGTTACGTTACAGATAAGCAATGTGTAGACTACCCTGAAGATATTGATTACCTGGATATGGACCCAGATTCATTGCTCGCAGAAAATGCAATCATTGTTTCAAATGCGACTTGTGGAGAGAAAAAACGTGAATATTATTGCAGACTGGTCGAACACGCTGGATACGATTTTACGTACGTCACAATGCTGTTAATGGTGTTGTCATTGATTTCCAATTGGCAATGTATAAATTAAGCAATATTCATTTGCAGAGCTTTTAAAAGGACGAAGCGTCAAGTTTTTACTTATCCACAAGACGCTCGCACATACAAGGACGCTGACGGTAGCTTAGTTGAGTGTAATTATTGTGACGCACGGGATCCAAATCTTCGTCATCCAATCGAATACGCTGTTTCCGGTGATTCCAATTTATGGTGGCAGAGCCCGTCTCTGGCTGAGGGTCTTCAATACCACGCGGTCACCATTGATATTGATTTAAAGCAGGCGAGCCACTTTTCAAGCAATGCTGCTTGCTTTATCCAGAGCGGTGGTCTGAATATGCATTCTCCTTAGGTCTACCAAATTGTCTTCGTTCTTCTACGCATGGGTGATTCCCCTCGACCAGCGAATTGGGTCCTCGAAAAATCGATTAATGGACAGGCCTTTCAGCCCTGGGTTTTTTTCGCCGAAAATGCTTACCAGTGTTATACGCTTTATCAACCTATGGTCAACGGCACACTTCGCATTACCAGCGACTCCCGTCCCCACAAACTGGGAAATACTGAGGTTTGTTGGTTCTCTACCTATGCTTTCTCATTTTTACGGTGATAAAACTGAGTTATTTGGTCTTTCTGACAGGTTTATTGCACAACATACTTCAGCCAACCGCAAAATCTTCAAGCAGGAGAGATCATTATTCCGCTAACGGTGGATCGTGAGGGCGCCTCAACGTCTCGCTTTGAAGCAAACAAGCCAATTGATCCGGAACTTATAGTAAGTTCCTTAGGAGATCTTACATTTTCCGAACGATTTGATCTGTCATCAAACCCACTCCGGCCTTTAGGATTTTCTTTCTGCTCGATTCGTGCGTTTGAGGTTCCAAAAGCTGCAGACTCTCTCAGGTGATTGGATGACCCTTAGAGATCAGCTTGATCCAACGGTATACAACAGGGTTAGTTCCATAGGATACTTGTGTTTGATTATGCGTTTGCATAGTGTATGTTTTATGGGACCTCATGTCTTAGATACTCTTGGTAGTCCACCAATGATCAGGTCTTTTTAGGGGTTAGATCACAAGCGGCATACATTATATTGACTGTTTTTAAACAAAAAGTAAGTGTTTTTAGGGTGTCAAAACTTCTCCTTTTGAAGCAAAAAAATGACGCATTAAAGCTGTAGAATAAACTTAATTGCTTGACAATCAACCGAAATTCAACTGCACATGGTCTATCAATCACTGTTTGTACCTGCGGTGTATCCCTTTTAAAGTACTTTCTAGAAATTTAGGCTTTTTTTCAAAAACTAAGAACCGAGGTCTTAAATCGAGAAAACGGCTTTTTCGGTTTTTCTCAATAGTATTATTATTCGATTCGAAACATCAAAATTGGCGGAAAATGCATCTGCAACAGCCATGCCAACACCTGTGGACGTCAAATTATCGACGTAAGTGACAACGAAATTAGTTTTTTGCCAGTGTACTATTTAAATGTCAAATCGCAATCAAAAAACCGGTCTCCATTGTCCTTCCTAGGGTGTGCCAAGAGCGGTCTGCGATTGTCAGCACAACACCTGCGGCTACACTTGTGAGCGATGCTGTCCGCTCTTCAATCAACAACCCTGGAGGCCTGGTGCTATGTGTGAAGGTAGTTATTTTTCTAAAAACGGTGGTTCATTCTAAATGAATTAGAACAATAAATGAGTATTTCAAGTTACGCGTACATGCGCCAAAACAAATTGATGTCTCGGTTATTCGTACAATTAGAGGGAACTTGGATCTTTCTTCTTCTCAGAATGCAATTGTCATGGAAAGGCTGATTCCTGTGTGTACAACCAGACAGTGGCCAATCTTCAACTCAGTCTTAATCGCTACAACGTGCGTGAGGGAGGCGGTGTCTGCATTGGATGTCGGGTGGGTGTCTCTCCTTGCATCCAATTGCACTGTAGCATCAGCACCCTACCCTTCTCCTCTATCCTATAGGAACGAACCACGGGTATCAATTGCGAGGACTGCAGTCCCGGTTACTATCGTCCCCTGAATGTCGCGCCAGAGGCTAAGAATCCCTGTGTCCCATGCAACTGCAACCTGCACGGATCGACGGGCGTTTGTGTCTCAAATGATGCGATGATGCCGGAGAAGGTGAGTCCCTTCGCAAATCTTTTGAAAGTCGCGCTTCATACAAATTCAAGCCTTCTGTTCAGGATGGTTTTGGCATTTTATGGCAGGAAATATCAGAGGGATTTAAGATTTCGGTTAGGGAGGAGAAAAAAAAACTTTTTTAACGTTCAAATTTCATTTATACTCCGCGAACGGAGAGGGATTTTTCTCACCTCCTTTTTAACTGCTATTGAGAAGGTTTTTAACGGTCAAATGGACAGGGAGGTCTTTTCCAGTAGTCAAAATATTATTCTTTCTAATTTAAATCTTTTGAACTTTGTAACCAAACAGTAGCGGGTGAGGGGGTCGGGTCATGTGGATGCTAAAGGCATCGTGCACCCCTTACCTCCCCTCTCTTCAAGACGAGTAGTCAACTTCAGGTGAACTGTGGTAACAAATAAACTGACACGCCACAGATGATCTCTGACAGGTCACGCAGTAGCCGATTCCAAGACAATAGCCTTCTTATGTGTGTGCGTGCATGTCGTGGTGCAGTGTAGTGTTTACGTTGACCGCAGGTTCTCCTACTGACCATGCTAGAAGCCTGCTTGACCGGACAGATGAATGGATGGTCTAAATAAACTGTCCCGCTACTTGTGTGTGTGATTTTTCAAGGGGTTAGTGCGCATTCTACTGCACGAACTATTGTTCTGCCATGTTTTGGCATTAACTGTTAGTCACCGATCCGCTGCCTTGTTGGACTACTCCTGAGGCTGGTTTGCTACTAAGGGTCATTCGGAGGACACTCCAATGAGAAGAAACGCCTTCTGAAGGCTATAATGGACTGGTTTTTTAACAAGATTTCTAATTTCCACCCATTCAAAACAACTCATTGACGAGATGGTTCACTGTTGATTCTTCTCAGTAGTTTGGCTAATCATGAAGTCACCTCATTTCTCATTACCTGATTCTGGTTTTATTCCGCTTATGTCCTAATAGTACTTCCTCAGCAGTCTTCTTACCACCATTTGACAGTAGATAAACGTTTATGATAGCTTAGTTGTTAAAGAGACCATCTTGGAATGCGCTAATCCATCCTTGGGGGTAGTTGTAAGAAATTATAACAAATGAAATTGAAAAAGAATAAGAAAGAGGTGAGACCCTGGTCAACTGAAGTGTAGATGATTGGCTTCGGAAATCCTCGTCCCATTTTAATTCTGGTAAGGCTTCTCTTCCAAAAGAGAATAGAACGTCTTCGATAATACCCGAAGACTTGGACATAAATTATCCATGACCCCGATAAGTCGAAGAGCTACTGTTGCAAAGTTTACCTCCTTTAACCATCATCAGTGACCGTCGAGAAGCCCATCCAATACTTTTTTTCTTTGAACCTCTTCAAATGGCTAAAACCGAAATACAAATCCTCGTTTTAACCAATTTTTGTAAAAATGAATAGAGACTCTTATATACAACTTCCAATTTACCTAAAATATAGAAAAATTTGCTTTTTATTGACAGTTATCCCAGCAGAGAAACCCCTATCCATAAGCGCACTGTCATCTTACAGGTGTAGCATATACTACTGGGGCAGAGACAGTAGTATGCAATTGCTTTAAAAAAGCGTTTTTAAATTCAATATTTACCAGTTAACCACCTTTTATGATCCGCCCTAGCAACCTGGTGACTGCATTTGCCGCGAGGGTTTTACAGGCCGCCTCTGTGATCGATGCGCGGAGGGCTACTACGAGTCGCCCATCACGCCCGGCGAGTGTCTCAAGTGCCCCTGCGACGTTGCCGGTTCTCACAGGGGTCAGGGCTACCGCTGTCAGCCGCCGTGCAACTGCAAAGTAGTTCTTGCTAAAATTTACCCGAGCAGTTGGTATTTTGACGCTTAGGCTGATCGCTGTTATTTTTGCCGCCCCCTAAACTTCTAGCCTAACGTGGATCCGGATTCGCTATGCAAGGCCTGTTTGCCAGGACATTTTAATCTGGATAACGAAGATCCGGAGGGTTGTCAGGCCTGTTTCTGCATGGGATTAAGCAAAGAATGTCACAGTGTTTCGGTATCAACTGCCAGAGTAAGCCATTTCCGTGGTTATCATTAACTTGAATGGCACTTATTGAAACTACTTATTTTGCATTTTAGCGTCTCGAACAAGAGGGGAAATTAGGAACAGTAAGTGGAAAATTTTCCACACCTTTAATAGGCGAATCAGTTTTGCAGTAAATGTTGCCTTTAAATGGATTGTAAGCATTTATCAAACTTGCTTTGTGGGCTTATAAATTCTCATGATGTTTGTTTGGTAAGAAGATGATCCAAGTTGATTAGTTAATTTCACATGGATGACAGCTACTGTTTATCTGTTTATATGGTTGAAATATTGTTTTTCAAACTGGTTTTCACATAAACACTTGACAGGTGACTGACTGGGGGGTCCTAGCATAATCAATAAATGCGATCTCTCACGAATGGCACTATTTGTAGGTAGGCACACTTTGCCAAGAAAAACTCATTCTCGGTTGTCCGGATGTCACTACTTTAATGCCTTTACTTTTAGTGCTTTCAGTAAAAACACAAAAATTTACAAGGTTCTGAAAGTGACTCCTCAAGACCTTCCCCTTGAAAATGGTTTTGTTTTGAAGCTAGCCTTAAGCCTTCATGTTGCGAAATTCTATCTTGTAGTAATATGTCATATTTAGAAGTGATTGCGGCTAAACTCATTGTCTCCAGATCATTAACTATCGGTGTGAATCCCTCCCTCAAAGGTCGATACTCTAGATGGGTGGAGTCTCGTTGTGCCCCCATCTCCTCGTTCGCTGCCGGTTCCCCCAATCAGTGCCGGTGCATCGGTGGAGGCGGCAGCTTCGACTCGGATGCTCCGCATAAGCTCCGAAGACGCCGAATTCTCCCTCGGTCCTCCCGCCGCTGAACCGAGCCACGCCACCTACTGGAGCGCTCCTACTATCTATCTAGGCAAACAGCTCACTGCGTATAGGGGTTACCTGGAGGTCATCACGCGCTTCGCTTCACCGTCTATTCGCTCCACTGCCGCTGTCGCTACTTCGGTGTATGATAACTACACGTTATCGCGAATCTGGATCACCGAGCCGGATGTTGTGATTGAGGTTAGGGCTCAGAACCAATGGCACTATCACCCTCTCTAATTTAGAGGGAAGAAGAGGAGAATTGTATTACTCGAGATGCTTCCAAGTGGTACAGAAATAGTAAAGCTAGGAGAATTACTTACAGTACCATAGCCATTCATGGAAAGCGCTCAGGATGGATGGTGGATTGTTGCCAAGACCTACACGAATGAAACACCATTATTAAAATTTCATCCTCGACGCTCCTCTTAGTGACTGCGCTGAGATAGGAAGACCAAAACCTGCGAGAAATGCCAATGCATTGCGCCAAGTTCTTGACAAATCTGTCGCCCTTTTATACTTGATTCCCCCGTTTCTAGGGTCACGGAATCCGTCTAGGCTACAGCCCATCACCAGAAAACAGACAGATGCATCGCGTTCAGCGAATTCGCCTACATGAGTCAAATTTTCGCGTGTTGGTTGAGGCAGGCAGTGGCAATTTGGATCGCATTCCCATCCACCAAACGCAAGCCATTGGCACTGAAAGACAGCCAGCCTATTCGGCTTCCACTTATGAACGAGGAAGGTAATTCCGATCTCATTTGAATGCCAAATTTTGCGGTTAATGGAATTCTTTATTGTGTTTCCACCTAAACTGTCAACACAATTAGTTGAGTTGTCTCAAATGAGTACTAGAAGGCCAAATTTCCACCACCTTAGTGACGAAATCTATCAGAAGGTCTTAAATGTCAACCAGTAGGAGCTAACTGTGAGCATGGCGTGTGCCAATCTGCATTTCATTTGGCTACTGATGGCAAAGAGGGTTCTGTTCTCGTAAAGTTACGGTACTTTGATTGTCCTTGACCCTTGTCCATCTTTAGCCTATCCGTAAGTAATATTGGCCAATCAGGGGGACAGAACGAGAGCTCAAGTTTTGAGATGTTCCAGGATGTCGAGAAAGTAGATGTTTTTTGAGGTTGCAGACATTCTCGAAACCCAGAGAAACTCACTGAACTTCTCCTTTGCAGCAATAATAGGGTGGACTACACGAGAGCCGGGCGACCAGCAACCATTGTGGATGTTATGGCGGTTCTCTCGAATGTGACGAAGCTTTATGTAAAGGCGCGATACACTGACGATCAAGCATATTCGGAGTGAGTTTTCCTGCTAAACACAAAAATGACAGCTGGATTGACGTAAAACGTAAAGTACTGCCTCATCCTTATCTGCCTTCTCTTGATTTTTCAACAATGAGAGTGAGAAATGGCACCAAACTTTGCCATATTTCCTTGCAGAAAAGCGCTCTTTGGTTACAGATTAAATGTTTTTACCAGATCCGTCCTCGTCTTCTGGTTTCTAGACTCCGTCGTGTTGCTATGGAGCGTGCAGAACGCAGAAATAACACCCACATTTTGCTGGAAGGGATCCGCAGCGTGGAGGAGTGTCGGTGTCCTCCAGGTCATCGGGGCACCTCCTGCGAGGAATGCGAGACAGGCTACTGGCGTGACCCATCCATCGCACTCGCAGGTCAAGGTCAGGATGGGGCGATTGCAGCTTTTCTTGGCCTAATGAACCCCATTTATCGACGTGTCTGTGTACCCTGCGAATGCAATGGAAGGGCGGATACGTGTGATCCGAATACGGGACACTGTCTGGTGTGTTGACTGGTCGATGTCGATGATACTGAAAAATGTTTCATTCTTCATTAGTTGGTATCAAGATCATGTGGCAATCTTACGAATTTGAGTGAATTTTTTCACTGACACGGATTCTAGGTTGCTTAAAAGCAGATGATTGTTGAGTCGAACATTGCCACTATTAACAACCCTCCAGGTAATTCAAACTACGATCCCTGGTAAATTTGTCCCATTCACCGTCCTGTAGAACTGCAAGTACAACACGTATGGACGAAATTGCGAACAATGCGCACCGGGATTCCACTTGGATCCGACCAAGTTTGGATCAGACATCTGCCAGCCCTGTGAATGTCCCAGCCTCTCGAATCATAAGACCAATTCCTGTATCTCCCTTTCCGGCAGAAGTTTGGGCTCTTTCGGGTTCCCTGTTGAAAAGCCTTATGCCTGTTTAGATTGTGAAGAAAAGTGAGTTGAAGAACTTCAGCATT